CAGGTCTGGTGCTCCCCCACGGCACCTCCAAGCACCCGCCCTCCCCAACACAGAACTGCAGGGATCACGGTGTTCTCAAGCTTGGGTGTGAGGCTATGCAGGTGGAGGCCAAGGGTACTGGGAAATGTCTTTGTACCAGGCATGGGAGGCCATTAGCACCCTTGGAGAGTGCAGTCCCCCCAGCCGAGGGGGCAGAGCCCTTGGCAGGGGGCTGAGTGGGCAACTGGAGAGACAGCAGGCCAGGGAGGGGCATTTTCCAGCTCTGAGCAGCTTGAGCTCATTGGAAGTCAGCAGGGAGACAGACGGTGGAGTACAGGGTACACAGGCAGGAACTGATGATTCTGGTGCTGCCTTCTTGGTGCTGGGCCCCACCTGGGCCTTGGAACACTCACAGGGTATACAGGGTCCTGCTATAGGAAGGGAGCTGAGGCTACGGGCTAAAGGCCCCTGCCCCATGGCACACAGGGGCAGCAGCCAGGGCTGGGATTCGAACCTGAGTTGGCCTGAGTCCAAAGCCAAACCTGAGAGTGGAGGAAGGGCTCCTCCCCAACTGGGACCTAAAGTAGGGCAGGGTAGGGCATGTGGGGGCAACCCTAGGGTTCCAGGAGCTATGGTGGAGCAAGAAGAAGCTTGCTGGAAGCCTGCGGAGAACTCAGGGGGCTGGGGTCAGCCCTGGGAGATTGTGCAGTGGGGTCACTACAGAGTGGCCAGGGAGAGTCCCAAGACCAGCCTGGGTTCTCCCACTCAGGGCCCGGGAGCAGTAGAAGGTCAACTCAGCTTTCACCCATGTCCCTTGCCACTGACAAAAATGACTACTACTTGGAGACTAGGTCAACTAGGAAGGACCCTCAGCTGCATTTCAAACTAGTTTAAGCAAAAACAGGGATAGCCCAATGATTATAAAGAGACATGTTATTAAGAGGACTTAATGCTGGAATTCTTTACCTTCTTTCTCTCTTTTCTGTACTTCTATGTTCTCCTGTCAAAGAAAATAAAAAACAAAACAGGGATAATCTGTCTCATTTAACTTAAAAGGTTAATGGCTTCAGACATGGCAGGATCCAGTACCCATGGATGTATATCAGGAGTCTCTGAGCCCCCGGGTCGCTGTCCGCACCCCCCATCCCCAGATCTCCCCCCACCTCCATTTCTCAGTTCTGCTTTTCTCAGTGCTGGCTTTATTCTCAGGCAACTCTCCCCATTATTAGCAAAGACGCCCCTCATCCAGCTCCAGGCCCACATCCAGTGGGGCCAGCTCAGGGCTGGCTCCTATTGGACTGACTTGGGTCATGTGTCCATTCCTGAAGCAGTCACTGGTTCTGACCCACTGGCCTGAATCACATGCTCCCCTCTGGAGCCTGCAGTGGAAAATCAACTGGAAGACGGGAGGGATGCCTGACCATGGACATCCACTGCACTGGGCAGACATCCTGCTCTCCACGCCTAGGATCCCTGCCCCCTGACTCCTTCCCTAGACCCCACAGCTGTAGCCTCAGGAGCCAGTACCAAATTCCAGGCAAGCCCCTGGATACAAAAACGGAGGTGGCTAGAAGGGGAAGCAGGGAGGGTGTGTGCTATGCTGAAATGATGCAGGACAGACTGGGGTTCCCATACAGATTTTGCCACTCACCAGCTGTGTATTACAGGGCAAGTAACTGCCCCTCTCTGAATCTCGGTTTTCCCAGCTGTGAAATAGTAATAATGGCCAACGTGTCAATAGCACCTACTATGTGCAGTTGCCATTTTAAGCATTTTCTAAATACTTTAAAAAAATCCTCAAACAGGGTCTTCCCTGGTGGCGCAGTGATTGAGAATCCACCTGCCAATGCAGGGGACATGGGTTCGAGCCCTGGTCTGGGACAATCCCACATGCCACGGAGCAACTAAGCCCATGCTCCACAACTACTGAGTCTGCGCTCTAGAGCCCGTGGGCCACAACTACTGAGCCTGTGTGCCACAACTACTGAAGCTCGCACGCCTAGAGCCCGTGCTCCACAATGAGAGAAGCCACTGCAATGAGAAGCCCGCGCACTGCAACAAAGAGTAGCCCCCCGCTCACCGCAACTAGAGAAAGCCCATGCGCAGCAACAAAGACCCAGCACATCCAAAAATAAATAAAATAAACAAACAAAAAAAACCTCCTCAAACAGACCCTATGAGGTGGGTACCATCATTATCATCCCCATTTTATAGTGAGACAAGAAAGGCCAAGCATAGTCTAAAGTCACACGGTGGTCTGTGCAGCTCAGGAGGAGAGCTAAGTGGTGAAAGTGGCTGGCCCCATGCCAGGGGCAAGGCCTGGAAAGTGCTGGGAGCATTGTAATGATGAGGGGGCAAATTTTGAAGGTGTGCTCGGTAGGAACTTGCAGAGGGAGGGTGAGGGCAGAGAAGGCTCCACCAGCTGGTGCTGAAAAAGTCCTGAAACCTACATGTCAGCCTTGAAGCCTTCTCTGAGAGGTGTGGGGGAGTGCAGAGCAGGAAGGTGGGCGTGGGAGGGCGGGGCTGCAAGGAGGAAGGGGAAGGGGTTCTTGCTTCCTAAGCCTTCATCCAGTCACGTCTTATCCTCACAACATGTTATCAAAGAGGAAACTCAGAGAGGGAAAGCATTTTCCTCAAGGTCACACAGCAAGTGACCAGCTTCTGGATCTGAATCCTCCCTCTTTCTTGGCTTTTCCACTCTGGGGACCCAGAAGCCATTGGACTAGGCTCCCAGTGCTGAGTGGGGGGGGAGATCTAGGAGTGGGAGAGACTTGAAGGGTGATCAGTGCTGTGAGTGGTACACATGAAAGCCTGGTGGGAGGCCTCCAAGGAGGCACCCAGAACCCACCCACCAAGGCTGAGCGTGTGGGTTTCAGGGGCAGCAGGTAGCTGATGGGAGGCAGATTTGCAGAAGAGGTAGTGATCATTGGTCACCCTGCTCCTACCGGTTGAGGAAACTGAGGACTACAACAGGGCCACTGAACTTGGCAATTTAGTGGTCTCTGGTGACCTTGGCCAGAGCAGTGCCAGGGAAATGCGGGAAGGAGACAGACTACAGATGTACAAATTATAGGATGATAATGATGTGGAGGGGTGAAGGGTGGGCTCCAGGGAGTGTGAGCAGGGAAACTTCTTGCTCCCCTGAAAATAGAGAAAACTGGGCATGGGGCATATGGGGACTCTCTGTACTATCTTTGTAATTTTTCTGTGAATTTCAAACTGTTCTAAAATTAAGTTTGTTTAAAAATATAGATGGCAAAGAGGTAAGAGTGGGTGTGGCTGGAGTTTGTAGGTGGCTGGGGGGAAGCAGGAATTTGAGGAAGGGAGAGCATGCAGGTAGGGCTTCTGTTTTTTGGATGTGAAATTGAGTGAGCAGGAGGCTGGGCAGGGGGCTTCAGGATGGGGAGATGAAAGGCATTCTGGGCTGGGAAAAGTCAAAGGAAGCAGGAAGGGCCCGAGGCCGGAGATCCCTCTACCTACCACTCCCAGGCACCCCTCAGCCCTGCTGTGGGGTCTCCCTCCCTCCCTGGAATCCTACTGACTCTGCCTGGGACTTGCTCCAAGTGGGGGCCGTGGAGAAAGTGCCAGGGCCAGGGGTCCATGGGCATAGTGGACGCAGAGAGTTCCCATGAAATGTATTGAGTTTTAAGAGGTTCTTCCCACCCCAAAGTGCTGGGACCCACTGCTGGAGATCAGTGCACACACTGCTCTCCTTCTCTTGGCCCAGCTGGTTACCCAACTCAGAACTCAGAGGCCCAGCCCCACCACCTCCCAGATTGGACCAGGTAAAGTTTGCTCAGGTTCTGTCACCTCCTCTGGGAAGACAGGGGTGGGAGGCTTTGTAGGTGGTGGTAAAGGCTTCTGAGAGCTGCAGAGGGTTCCAGGATTCCAGCTCAGACAGGAGCAGAGATGCTCCAGGAGGCCCTGGCAGTGGTGTCCACTTCCCCTGGAGGGACTCCTCTTAGGCCCCAGTGTTTTCTGTGTTCAGAGCTTTGGGAAATTAAGGTGCCAGGAGGCTGGCCCTGGAGTGTCCTTGGAGGAGCCCTGCCCTGAGAGTCTGGGGTTAGATTCCTCTGGGAGGCCTGAGGCTTGGGAGAGAAGGCAAAGGATCTCCTAGTCTGGCCCCACCTGAGAGGACTCAGGGGGCAGCTGGTAAGGGAGGGGTGCTCAGCATAGGGTAGGGCAGGGATGGGGTAGAGGTTGGCAATGTTGGGGTAAGGAGCTGAGAATGGTCTAGGAGGCAGGGATGGAGAGGTGTGGCTGGGAACAGGGATCAGAATGGAAATAGGGTAGGTTGGAAAGAGGAGGGTGCAGCTAGGGATGGGGTCTGATGAATGGGTAGTGGGTGTGTGCTAAGCATGGGGTTGGGAGTGGGGCTGGAGCTGGGAGGGGAAAGAAATGGGCTGGATTTGGGGATGAAGACAGCAGTGGACAGTGATGGGGATGGACTAGGAATGGGCCTTTCAGAGGTGGGGATGGGCTGCAGATGGGCCAGGGGTGGCTGGCACGGGAATTGGGTTGGGGCTGGAGGTTGGGATGGACCAGGGATAGGGGTGAGGCTGGGTGGAGATAAATTAAGGACGGAGTGGGGCTGGGCCGGATTGGAATGGAGTGGATTTGGGATTGGGACCGGGAGCTGGGAAGGAGAGGGATGAAGCTGGGCCTGGATAGGGATTGGAGAGGTGGCGACGGGGCTAGGTTTGTGGCTGGGGACACCACAGGTGAGAATTTGGGGCACGGGAAGAATGGCCCCGTACAGACGGGTATACCCGCCCGGGCGCGGGGTGCAGGGACTGACGGCGAGGGGCGTGGGGGCGCCCCGGGGCAGGCCGGGAAGGGGGGGCGGGCCTCCCCCTGGCCGGGTCGCGGCGGCGCTAGGACCGAGCGCGCGGAGTGAACGAGCCGGGCGGAGCCAGCGCCCCCCGCCCCCCGCC